TGGGCACTCAATAAAGCATCTGCCTGAAAGAAAGCATAATAAAATCAGTTACATGCTTGCTGTGAAACTGAATGCCCCACATACTGGGAAAATTAATATAAGCTAAAGGATTCTTCTGTCCTTTTTATTGTACTTACCGCAGTTTTATAATGAAAGGCACAATGCAGATGCAAATGTACTGGATTGTACTTGCCGAAACTGAATCAAGCAGCAGTTAATAGATGCACTGATGTTCAGGCCACTTGAATGCTCTTCGGAGGATATGAGTTCCTAGGGGAAGTGTGATGCTAACTGATAAGTAATGGCTGAAAGGCTCCAGACTGAAGTTGTAGATTGTACTCGTGATTTGAGGATGATGAAGAGAATATGAATCTTTCTGTTGGAAATTAATTCAAATGTGTTTTATGCGAGGCTGCGCACCAGTTCACCACTGGCCTTATCAGTGCCAATTTCTTTGTTGTTTGCTAGCTGGAATTAGAATGACCTTTTATGCATAAATTCATTTTAATATTTTTTTTCTTTCTACTCTAACAATCTATTGCATCAGAGAATGAGCAGACAACTGCTAGACAGGTCCAAAACAATTTTTTACAAGACGAAGTTGCAACGATTAGTCCACTGGAGGCGAGCGTAGTGAGAACCCAAGTGCAGTTTTATTTACAAAAGTAATCCAAAATCCAAACAAAGACTTGACTTGAACAGACATGATTTGGCATGAACAGACTAGACTCACCAAAAGCAGGTTACAACATCAATACACGACAAGAAACAATGGCAACAAGAGGGCTACTTATAGCAAACACTAAGGGTCACATGACAAGAACCAACCAATGAGAAACAAGACACATGACTAAGACAACCAATGAGAACATGACACATGAACCAAGGAACCAATCAGAACATAGGTGCGTTCGACTTGAAGCACGGCTACAGACGGCAGTCAACGAGAGTAGCTGCTTGCAGTCGGGGGCGGAGTTGAAAATGGAGCCGTCAAGCCGGACACTTTCTGCTCCCGTTAGTGACGTTCGCACGGTGTTTGCATACTCTATCACAGATGAAGTGAATGAAGTGAATGAAATGCAATTATTTGTCAAATATACAGACGTTTCAGAAACGTTTTCATGAGCAACAGATATATACTGATTATATACGTCTTAATACATCGCCATCTGTTCAAGAATAAAGTTCAACGTAAATATATACTATTTAAATACTAATAAAGTGGGGGAATGTATGCTTTCATCAGTGTTTTATGATAAACGTGACTCAATATAACATTGCGACTACAGTAAAAAAGCTTTTACTGTTCTAAAAACACAGATTTGTGGCTATTATTGGAATTTAAAAGGTTAGAATAAACCCAAAACACACTTGATAGTTGTCATGCCAATCTGGCATGTGTCGTCATCAACGCTCCTGCAGCTGCTCTGGAGAAACTGCACCGCCTGAGTCAGCCGGCTGCTCTCGAAACGCTCTCGCGGTGCTTTGATGCCACACGTAACAGTGACGTGGCGTCGGCGCCGTCTCAAGTCAGACAAAATTACTAACCGGCATGCACTGCTTCAAGTCAGATTGCGATCGATCTGCGCAGTGCTGCATGAAGTCGAACGATGCCACACGTGACAGTGACGTGGCGTCGGTGCCGTCTCAAGTCGGACAAAATTACTAACCGGCATGCACTGCTTCAAGTCAGATTGCGATCGATCTGCACAGTGCTGCATGAAGTCGAACGCACCTCATAACACACAGACAAGGGTAGCACATGACATGATCACATTAGGGGCAAGGAACGCATGACAAACCAGGAAACTAATCTAAGAGCATGAATACAAAGCAAAAGATATGAACACCAACACAACCCAAAACAAACCCTGACAGAAGTCAAGTCCCAGGTCTGAACCTTAAAGTCAGTTCCCAAGTTACAAGGTTTCAGTAAAACCATTAATTTGAATTTAGCTCTCCAAGTCTTACCAATGAATTATAAATCACATTTATTGTCATTTTATTAGGTTTATAAAAAATACATACAACTGGGGCTAGTAATGCACTATGGATAACGAGAAAAATATTGCAAATGTAACTCTAAAACAGTCTCAGTTTTATGTTAAGGAATTCCTTTTGGTTTATAGCCAAGTTACATAATATGATAACAGTTTATTTGCCAGTATAATGAAGATTGAATAATCATGAAATATCTAACTTTCTGCACTACTGTGAACAATGTTACATATTTGAGACTTGCAGTTCGCTAATTCAAGACCAGCAGATGCAACAAAGTAATCCTGGTAAGCAAGTTTCTAATTGCATCTTCCTTTTTATTTTTTGTTGTTTTTATTAATGTATTTGTAAGAATTTATTCAACAGTTTTTGTGGGATTAAAATCTGTTTTCAGCTTTTGATGATCATTTTTCAATTGAAGTACTTAAAGTCCATGTTGTTAACAAGGTTATTTTGTTCACTGAAAAAAAAAAACAAGTAAAAAAAAAAAAAGATTCACAAGAACATCAAACAGATGTTTAAGGTGAGAAAATTAATTTTGAGGACAATTATTAAAAAAATAAAAAAGCCTTATTTGACACTGTTTGCATCTCCTGATGACTCATTTACACATACAGAGCCCATTCTTCATTGAGGATAACTAACAGAGAAAGTGTCTAATTTGGTTAAATGGTTAAATATACATTTGTAATTGATTTTTTTTTTTTTTGGTGACGTGTTAGCAAATAACAAAAACAGGGATTTTTCTAAGACATTATTGGCTAATTAGTGAAATGTTATAAAGAATGATGGGATGTGTCAAATATGCAAGTGTCTAGTCAAAACAGTTTGGTATTGTGCTGTTGTGATATATTCAGTTTATGATTAAAGAAAACCCCCCATCCAACTCTCGCTCCATCTGTTGCTCTCTAAATATTTGGTGATCTGTGACTCTGTATCTGTCTGCCTATTGCAAAATATCTACATGCACTCATGTGGCAAAGACTCTTGACAGGTCACTGTCTCCATCCCCACACTGTTATGCAAATCTTTAGTAAATAATGTTTCAGTCATGCTAGAAGATTCTAGCATTTTTGTGTTGTGCCAAACCTTTTTTCCAAAAAAGAAAAAAGCACCAAATATGTATGTAAAAGACAGAAAAAAAGTGAAAGAAAATATAAGTGTGCGCGATAGGAAGCATTGAACACAAGTGAGCTCTTTTGGCTTTTGTTTCTACTCAAAAGCAACCCTCCTACATGCTCACACACACAGGACACCATTTTACTTTTTAACAAGCTCATGAAGAGAAACATTAGAGGGACTCTTTTGTTTCTTTTCCGCCTTGTTCAAGGAAGCAGACAGTGAAAGAAACATACAGGCGAATAAAGAGAGTTTGAGAGAGAGAGGGAGAGAGAGAGAGACAGAGAGAGAGAGAGCAAGTAAGTAAGAAAGTGAGTGAGAGAGAGAGCTGGCACAGGCTGAGCCAGGCGCTGGCTGTGTGGACACGGAGGAGTGCGGAGCGAACAGAAATGACAGAGCAGGAGGAGGAGTGAATGGATGGAGTGACCCAGGAGGAGGAGAGGAATGCTGAGCGAACAGACCGACAGAACGCGAAAGGGAAGACAAGAGTGGCGTGGCAGCAACAGCAGAGCAATTAAACAGTGGAAAGACAAGCAAAGACTCACATGCCGAGCAGCTTCTGTCGCTCGCTTACACTCTCTCTCTTTCGAGCAACCGAAGAGGCAGAAGTGAAGCGTCCAGACAACGATAAAGGACAAGAGGAGGCACGCAAGAGGCAGAGGGAGGAGCAAGCACACTTTGATTGACAGAGGAAAGAGGAGGGACATGCACGCAATTTGAAGAATTAGATTTTCTGGGAATGGATATTTTTAGCGAAGAAAAAACAAAGGAGAAGAAGATAAAGGATGCCGTTTCAGTCTAAAAGAAGGATGGAAAGGGGAGGGAGAGAGAGAGAGAGAGTGAGATGCTGAATTCGGACCATGTAAGAACAGATTCCACATCAGCGGCATTCAGCCCTCCTACAGGCAAGAGTCAGTGTGTATGTGCATATGTGTCTGTGCGTGTGTGAACTAGCACGAATTATGACCTCTGTAACACCAGGCTTTTGCCCATGTGCTCCTGTAGTTGAGGACAGAGACACATAGAGATGGGAAGGCAAAAAGTCAGTAATGTATCACTGTCAAAGCTAGAGAACAAAAGGCAACAAGACAAGATGAGTGTGATCGTGGGGTTGTGGGGTCAGCTGTAGCTAGTTTTTTGGAAACCCTCCCTTCAGTGACTAAGGAAAGACAGTCTATTTCACCAACAGGTCAGCCTGCCTGGAGACTCTCTCAAATCCTTCTTTCTTGTGACTCAGCTGGCGCTGCCTCCCACTATCCATCTCTTTTTCATTATTCTCTCTTACAATCTGTCTTGAATCTATTTCAGGGACTAAGGAAAGACAGTCTATTTCACCAACAGGTCAGCCTGCCTGGAGACTCTCTCAAATCCTTCTTTCTTGTGACTCAGCTGGCGCTGCCTCCCACTATCCATCTCTTTTTCATTATTCTCTCTTACAATCTGTCTTGAATCTATTGAATCTCTTCTCTCATTAAGATCACTTCCCATGTAACTGCCTCATTGTTTCCGATTCGCTTGCCTGAACTTCAGGAGATTCTGGGAGAAGCTCAGAGGGAGATTGCAGGCTGTCCCTAAAGCCAGA